TAAAAAAAATTCTCATATTCTCAGATATAGCCTAAGGGGAATAGATATTGTAAAATACCACTATTTCCCTAAATTAAATAGTATTGTGATCTTTAAGTTGTATTTGCCCTTTAATCCAATATTGTACATGTGAAAAATACAAACCTATATTTTTATTTTCTTGAAGAGCAATTGTAATATATGTGTGTGTGTGTGTATTTCATTACACTATAGATCTGGCCACACATGTAGTTGTAGTAAGAAGAGTGATAAAGAATCTGTATATTCTGGGTACACATTAGTGTTCATTTCCACTGCAGTAGTCTATTGTGTGCTGTTTTTGTATCAGTATGTAGTGACTTTAAAAAATATATATATATATTTGTGTTACCATACTGTTTTACATAATCTACATCTGTGGACAAATTTTAAACCAAAATACCTATTCATGTTGTAATTTTGCTACTTTGTAAAATCTGCTTATATTTTTAAAAAATGAAGGGCAGAAAGATCTTCAGAGAGAAGCACATTGGGGTGATTCCATTTAGAACTGTGGACTGCATGAAATTCTCGTGCAGCCCTGAGGAAGAATGTTTGTACTGTTTACTGACCTATAAAATGGAAGTATCAAAATGTGCAAAAGCCTACCAAGATCAGATCAAAATATACCTGTAATCTGTATTTGGGCATTTATATAGAATAGAGTTGATGAGATGAGATGAGATTTAGAATAGAAAGGCTAAATTAAAATGTTGCAACTGGTTGCCAGTACTATAATTCTTAAGGCTGAAATGTGTGAGCATATTATTAATTCCAAAAGAATTAGGATTTAATTATTCATATGAGTTTCCAGTAACAATATTATGTTCAGTTGTAAATTAACGCATTTGAATAGTTTTAAGTCTGCATTTAGATTCTGCTCAAAAGCTTGTGCATATGGGATACCTAATGAATTTGCAGACATGGCTTTCTCATCTTTCCTAATACTAACCTTATAAGGATTATAAGGATAAACAGGAGTACAGGACAGGATCAAAAGAAATTTAGAACTAATTGCATTTACCCGAAGAAGCCTGTGGACTTACTGTACGTTTTTCAAATAATCAAACAGTTTGCTATCATATCAGAGAGTGAAGCTACTGAGGTTCTTTCCCAGTGTCTGTAGGCTGTGAGGGTGTGGATGGGAAAGAACAGGTTGTGGCTCAACCCTGCCAAGACTGAGTGGCTATGGGTTTTGGGTGCCCTGGATCTGGGAGTTGCAGAGTTTCCATCTTTGGTTCTGGATGGGGTAGCACTACTGTGGTCAGACTTGGTGCACAATCTGGGGGTTCTCCTGGACTCTCAGCTCCTGCTCAAAGAACAGGTGGCAGCTGTGTCCAGGGAGCCTTTGCGCAACTAGGAGGCCCAGGTCATGGCCACTCACCTCTTTGTCACCTCCCAACAATGCACTCTACATGGAGCTGCACTAGAAAACCATCAGGAAGCTTTAACTGGTCCAGAGTGCAGCAGTGCAGGTAGTTATGGGTGCAGCTTGTTATGCCTACGTAACACTGCTATTCTGAGAGGAGCACTGGCTCCTGATAGGCTTCCAGAAGTAATTCAAGGTGCTGATGATTATCTTTAAAGCCCTACATGGCATAGGACTGAGTTACTTGAGGGACCACCTTCTCCCAAGAATATCTGCCCGCCCCACTTGCTCCCACAGGGAGGACATGCTCCATGTTCCTTCTTTTAAATCTTGTCATCTTATGGAACCTAGGAAACATTGTCTTTTCTGTGGTTGCCCCTGCTCTCTGGAGCAATCTCACACATGCACACGCCTATATACGATAGGCTCCAACTCTTCTCCCCTTTAGGAAAGCCATTAAGACCTAGCTCTTCCCCTAGACATTAGGGGCTTGTTGAGTGGGAGTCCCCCCTGTGATTCTTTCATTGTGTGCTTGGTCGCCATTTTACATTTTAAATTTTGTATTTATACATTGTCTGTTGTTATATGGTTTTCTTGTTGTCTTCTTCTTTTTGATTTATTGTGTCCTTGTGCTATACATTGCCCAGAGTCACACTGTCTGAGTTGGGAGGCCTTATAAATCTGGAAATAAAATAAATAAAAGTAATTGGTGATAAAAAAAAAAAGAAGAAGAAGAAGAAAATTTTGTGATATGGCAATGGTGTGTGTTGTTGAAGAAAAAAATCCCATCAGGCAAACAGATTATTGAGAAAAGTTACTTCTCTAAAGTAACTTTTTAGATTGTGGTCATTTAGTAAAACCTATATATTATGCAAGATCTGTCTTCCAAATAAGGGGACATTTGCACTTTTCTGTTCTCTTACTTTTCAATTTTGTTTTAACTGAACATAACAGCCATCACATGATTCTGCAACAATATTTGTATCCTATTTTGTTGGTGGTGGTAGTGACTTGTTGCCTTTGCCATCACAAACATATTATATTTATGGAAGCCATTGTCCATTTCATGTATTTTGACATATTGAATGACTTGTAATTATTTTAATTACAAAATAAATTAATTCTGCATTGTATGTTGTTTCCTTATGTCCTTTAAATATTTGAACATATACTTACCCTTTACATGCTTCCTTACCACCAGCACCACTGAAAAAAAGTGGCACTAATCTTTTAATTTATTTTCCTGTAGGCTCCATTAATTTCTGTTCACATATAGATTCCTGACACATCCTTCATTCCTGATGACATTATAAACAACAAGTCCTTGATACCCATTAATTTTTGGACAAACAAAAACTTTTTCAATTTGTAGCTGCCCAGTCAGCTGCTATTAATGTATGTAATTGCCTAGTCTTTTTTGTGCTAATCCCTGATTTGATTAAGACTTATTCTCACTGAGGTCATATTGATCTTCAAGGATTTGTGTAGTACTCTAGGTTCCATGGACTTCTGCCATAGCAGCTAAAAGGTCTAGATATGTACTGCAGATGCAGAAAGACAGAAATGTAGTTGGGGGGGGGACTAAATCAGTGTTTCTCAAGCTTGGCAATTTTAAGATATGTGGGCTTAACTCCCAGCATGCTGGCTGGGAAATTCTGGAAGTTGAAGTCTACACATCTTAAAGTTTCCAAGTTTGAAAACCACTTATATAGATGAATGCATCTTCTTGCAAGGTTTCATTTCAATAATAATGTTCTCCCATATCTGATTGGTGGCTGGTATTCATGTAAGCTTGGTAAATCCAAATCAAGTTCATCCAAAATCCTGAACAAATAATAGTATGGCCATGTGGTCTATTTCAAACTACACTCCTCTGTTTGAAGGGCTATTCAGTTGATATCCAGTTTAAAATACAGAACTGGAAGAAGGAATAACATGGCCTTGAACTTTGCTTATCAGTAATTGCCACTTGGAGAGCAGGCCCCTTGGTCACAGTTTTCTCCAACTGGTGTAACGATTGTATTGCTCATCAAATTACAGTAATTATTTCTAAATTGGTATCTGTGCAATTGAATTAACACATATAAATTTTATGTAATTCTGTGCCCTCTTTTAATCATGCATTTTCTCCCACCCCCCTTTTTCCCCCCTTTCTTTTTGGCAATGCATAAATGGGCAGCCTGATAAACTGCCCAAATTCCTTTTGTAGAATGAAAATTTAGTGCAAAGGTGTGTCAAGGCCCCTGAGATGTGGTCCCCAGAGACCTCAGAACTTTGTTCCTTTCGTTTCTATTATAACAAAAGGGGGAATGATTACTAAACTGGAAAATAATATATTAGCTATATTTAATTTAGATTAAATTCAAACAGAAATCAAATCAAATCAAGCTTAATTTTTGTACTTTTTGGACCAGTCTGTAAAAGGTGTGAACTTTTGCCTCAGCAAAGCAACAATAAGTTGCTCATTAGGAATATTTTGTTTGTAATTTGCACAGTACTTAGCAAATATCACAGTTCAAAATTCCAGGGTGAGAATTTGTGGAAAGGTCATATAAAAGAGAAAATCTATTTATGTGGTAGCTAGGAATTGAAAACAACTTGATGGCATATAATCATATAAAGGAACTTCGAAAGGAAATTATCCTTAAACTTTGAGGATTGAGTTGATATACATGTACCAAGTTTTTTCCTACTTTGTGTTCTTCCTTTAAATAGTGCACTTTTTTTTAGCTGACCAATAGTTTCCATCTTCTGCACTTAAGAAAAATCATTTACTTTCTTCTAAAACTGTTTAGCTGGCGCTTAAGTGCTCTTTCCTTTACGACTTGCATTAACTTATTTTTCTGTTTCTACAGAGGAAGGCAAGTTCTTGTTACTAATGCTTTGGTGTTCCCTGCTTTTTGGATTTTATGCAGTGAGCTAAAAAGGGATGCCTATTTCTTCAGAGCATGCTAAATAATAAATAATATTACTACACTTTATTATGTGAACATCCCACTGCATTGTGCATGCAGTTTCAAAGATCAAACTACAGTGGGGCAAAAAAGTATTTAGTCAGCCACCAATTGTGCAAGTTCTCCCACTTAAAAAGATGAGAGAGGCCTGTAATTTTCATCATAGGTATACCTCAACTATGAGAGACAAAATGGGGAAAAAAATCCAGAAAATCACACCATCCGGGCAACGAAGGAGTGGCTTCGTAAGAAGCATTTCAAGGTCCTGGAGTGGCCTAGCC